AGGAGTAACAGGCTCTCCATCCATTGAGAAACAGGAGCACATACGCCTAACATTTAGCAGTAACTGGCAGCTCACCTAATTAGCAACAGATAACACGTGCCATGTACAGTGAAGTTTGCGTGCGCTTGGCATATGGCACGCATCAAAATCCAAAAATCGTTCTTTGCAAGTGAGATCAACTCAAAAATGGTATCTACAGATAACTGTAATCTAGTCAAAATGCCACAGTCCCACGTATTACAAAGTGTGTGTCTAGATAAAACCTACCAATCCAAACAGAAGCGCACATATATCCCATGTGCTGGGAGGAAAGCCCACTCAGGCATAACTGTATTATCTAATGAGCATTCTATGCCTAACATTAGTAACAAATCATAAATTGTGTGTCTTAAGTCATTTTGGAAGGAAACCTGTCTGAATGCAGTACTACTGTTGGCATGAATGGCTCTTCTTACACCTTGATGCTTAACAAAGTGTTGATAAGACGGCCATTTATTAACCGCTACCTTCTCCTGCCAGAGAAAGGCTGACTTGTAAGTATTCACTAATGATATAAAGTCTGCATATTTTGATACTGAGTAAATCAAAGTTCACTGAATAGTTCAAAAACAATGCACACTCAGCACAGCTCAACTGAACTGTTTCAACATTTAAACCTAATTCACAGTGTTGTATTGTGGTCATGTGCACATCACCACATCACACATTATGGGCACTGTTTTTTTTTGGTGCTGTGTATTTTAAATGGCACCCCAATGCTAATTAACACACTAATGTGCTGCGTAGTCATAAATGGTGCAACCAAATTTTTTTCTTTGTGTTAGGCAATTTGAATGGGTGGCCTTAACACAGACCACTTCATATGCAGGTTAACGCATGTGCATTAATTCAATGCACAATTTAAATGGGCCCTTCAGGTTAAAAATGGAGTCTTTTGTTACAAACATTTCCAAATACAAGGAAAACCACACTGCTGTGTCAAGGCACCATTAAATTGTGATCCCTAACTCTGAATTATCTAAACTCCCAACTAGAGTTTTCTCTGCTTGGCATAGCATTCCCTCCTTTGCAACAGTGGATGTCTTTATTCTTTGTTAACATAAAGTAGAACTCCAAAAGAGAGAGAGATTCCCATTTAATGGCTGTAGCAGATGGGTTGAGCTGGGAACTCACCTGCTGGAGTAATTAAGAAATATAATAATCCATTGAATGACTTTATCCCCAATGTCCACACGTCATTGAAAAAGAATTTAAAGTCGGACTGACCTACTACTATAAGTTCTAGATAGTGTGGTATGATTGGTCTTTATACATGCACATGAAATATTGCTTATTATGGCTGAAGAGTCTGGAACAATGTACGGCATGTATAGCACTCACTCATGCCTCTATTTGGTCACAGAAGTTTTCCAGTTCAGTAGACTTATTCCAAAGCTTTTTGATGGTACAAATTCTACTACAAAGGTGTCTGCACGGACTTGTCTTCTACGCTCAAGCAGAATAAACACAAGTATGAATCCGCAGAGAGAACGCACTTAGACCCCTTCGTCGTTGTTTCCAAACTGCAGAGTCCTGTGAAGTCATTCAGGAAGGCTTCTGCTTTAACATTCCTTTACCATGAGTCTTCTGCTCTCTAAGAAGCCTGACATGCAATCTGTCCGCAGACCTCACCTCAGACTGTAATATGTTCTGCCCATCAGCAGCTCTGTCTAGTGTGACTAGGTGTTCAGTTACATAAACTCTCTCCCCATAAACTGAGCAGAACACAAATCAAAGGCCTCATTTAAAAACAGGATATTATTTTAAAACAGGGAGCTGCTCAGACTACTAAATTTAACAAGTCAAAGGAGTTTTTTTTTACTCTCCCTGTAGAGTTAAAGTGTATCTAAAACCATGAACAAAAATGTAATACATTACATCTTACCAGACCTTAGATGTGGCGACTGCATTCCTTCTTTTTTTTTATTTTCACCTGTTGACCCTTTTAATAACACACCGCCTGAGCATGACAATACTTACTCAATGAACATTGCGAATGTATGAAAGAGCAACTTTGCCAGCCTAGTACAGTAAGTGTTAGGAATACCGAACTTTTTCCTCTCTCATCTTCTTAACATAGATTGAAGGTTTTCTGTAGTTCAGAGATGAGCTGGACAGGATTGATAGTCAGGGCTTGAAAAATCCACTCGTCCTCTCGTCTGTGTCGAGAGGGCACCGGAGCCGGATGAGTAGCTTCCTGGCCGGCTGCTGTAATTAAACGGCCGGGAGCTTTACATGCAAGCGATCGGGCATCTCTAGAGATGCCCGATCGCTTGTATTAGCTGCGGTTTTACCGCGCGCAGCCACTGTCGTTCCTAAGATCCGCTGTGCCCGGTGCGGCCAGGTGTGACAGAAGATCAAAGGGAGATCGGTACACGATCTCCCTCTGACCTCCTCCGTCCCCGAATGCAGGAAGTGATGTATATTACATCCCTTCTGCATTCAGCTGTCATTCCCAGCTACAGAAGCTGGGGAGAAGCTGGTAAAGCAGATCTCTGCTTCATCAGCTTCTCTGGGGGTCCCTAGGTGACATTAGGGGTCTTGGAGACCCCTGATGTCTCCATAAAGAGGACCTGTCATGTAAATTGGTGATCACACAGGGGATTTCTTAGCCCCCTATGTGATAGCAATAGAGAAGTATAAAAAAAATTAAAGAAGCATAGAAAAACCAAAATATTATTTTAAGTCCCCCGCCCCCCTACATACACACACAAACATGCGTCGGGTGCACCTACGTGCGAAAATGCTGATTGCGCCTATTGTGCCGCACATGTTACATATCACTGCGAACATCGGAGTGTGAGCAATAATTTTAGGGCCATTCATTACTGATAACACTAAACTGATGAGCAGTAAAAGCATTGCCTACGGCCATTTTCGGTGTGGTTGTTTGTTTTTTTTGCGGGCGTGCACAATTGTAAGGCTTGACATGTTTGGTGTCTCTTTACCCGACGTGACCCCGACTTTTATATTTTACCAAAAATATGGGTAAGATAACATAGGGAAACTTTTTTTTTTCAGAAATTTACGTTACTTTTTTCATTATATAGCAAAACAAACAAAAAAATCTCCAGTGGTGATTATATACCACCAAAAGAAAGCGCTGTGTGTCCCCAAAAAAGTTAACATATACTGTAAATGCAAGGCTATAGTCCGGTCATGCTGACTGGTGAAATTTTTGACTGACTGGTGAGACACCCTAAAATTTTTCAAGCCCTGTTGATACCGGTAGCTCTGCAGAGTGCACAGGATAGCACTGAGTTTCTGCAGTGTTTATAGATATTTTTTTGCACTTCTCAATCAGATATAAGAAAACACTTTTAATATTTAATACTGTATATTTAACATACCAAAAGGGAGTGAATACATTCATGTTATGGTTTTAACTACACTAAAAGTAGTATTACACACAACTTTTTTTTACAATAATGAATCCAGATCAAACAAATATACATGGCCCAGCAAAGTATTTCTTTATATTTTTGCCCATGCGCTTAGTCACCATGTTTCCATACAGCTCCAACTTCCCAGTACTTCCTGTCAACATGACAGCCAGGCAGTAAGCATTTTACTAGAGGTTTGGCTGCCTCTGTATTCTCTAGTACAGGTTTCAAGTAGTACAGCTTGGTCACCAATCTTCCCCAGGCTGTGAATGAATAATGAAGTCATCACTCTGCTGTCTCCTCCTGAAAGCATGTTCAAATTGTTTACTCAGAGAATGCAAAGCAATAGATTTTTGAATGGCTTGCAGAGCTGAATCTGCCTCTACCATAGTGCACACAATTGCAGGAGGCTGGAATTCGGACAGATTATGGTGTTTATGCTGTGTTCTGTTCATTGTTGTGTCTGCCTAGAGTTCTACCTTAACCATTCCTCACTCGAACCACTGCTTCATCCTGCAGTATTTCATGCATCGCTAATTTTTTAGGCCCCCTGCCAATGTTGGTGGGCAGGAACCTAAAGCCAAGCAGAGTCATTTATTATATTGCTATGAGCAGATGCACCTTACTAATTGTTTGAAACAAAATGGTTTGGAATAGGATTCCTCCTCAATGTTTTGACTTAGATTGCTTGTAATAGTAGATTTCACCTTTGTCCCTTTGCGCCGATACTTACCTTCTACCGCTCCACTGTTGCTCTGTCTGAGCTTTGGGTGAATAGCCATAAAAGGAGGAGGATTTGACCTGCTCCTGGGATGCAGTGCTCTGGTCTGAGCAGTCAGTCACTAAGCCCATTTGTACACGGTCACCTGATCAGTACAAGAAAGAAAGTAACCCTGTGTAAGATGCATCAACCAGCATGGCACCTTTATATGGTTAGGGCACAACACTGATGGAGGAACGGAGCAGCAGGGAAGGTGAATATGAACAGGTTGGGGGTTGTTCTTACAAGATAACCTGTTACTTTTCCCTGAATGGGCATAGTAGTAGAATCTCTTTAAGGTCCATATACACAAAATGCATTTAACCTATGGAGTAAAGGTGTCTCTTGAATGGGCTCTACAAGTCATCCTTATAGAGCAGGGAAGATGAGTATGAACTGGTTGGGGGTTGTTCCTACAAGAGAATCCCTAACTTTTCCCTCAATTAGCAAAGTAGTAGAGTCTCTTTAAGTTCTATCTACACAAAATGCATTTAAATTATGGCGTAATAGGGGTCTTCTTGATTGGACTCTACAAGTCATCCTTATATATACACACAGGTAAATTAGTATACTGTATACATACACTGAGTTCAAAGGACACTAATGTGTAATGTGCCTCAAACATTGATGTCCAACAAGCATCCCCCAAACTGGATGTGGCTCTCAGAATCTTTCAGGTGGCTTCACTTTCTCTGGTTTTTCCGTAATATCTGGCTTGCAACCCCCAGCTATAACAATGTATTCCAAAGGTGAGAATATCTGTCTTGTGACATGTTAGAGATTACTTTTTATAACAAAGTTACTGTTTTTTTTTGTAGGATACTTTGTCAGACAGTGATGACATCAATACCACGTTGCTAGTTCATTTCTTTGGACGGGGAGGACGGGAAAAGCTGCAGTATTCTCATTTCTACAGGTTTGTTGTCTCCATAGTATAACATAGTAGAGCTGTGGTGAGCTGTATTTTGTTGCCTTGTAATACAAACAAATGTATTTACGTTTTAGAATCTTAAAATACATTTGATAAACTGGGTGACAAAATGAAGGATGGGAATGTAGTATGCAATACACTCTGTGGCAGTAAATCTCATCCATAATTTCCAGCTTGGGATGAAATCATTTAAAGTGTATCTAAACTGTAAACACAAAAGGGTCCATTTAAAAAAATTCATTGCTATTCATTCTGCAAAATGACATCTATAATCATTCTGTCTGAGTTAACCAATTGTTTTAAAAATGGGGCAAAATGGAATGTTCTAAGGGAAGTTCTCTTTCCTGAATGTTCCTAAGAATATATATAATTGAAAGGGTAATTCCACTTTCTCACCAGATATGAGAAAATGAAATTACCCACACAATTCTGTCCCGTCTTGCTAAGAAGCGCTTCTCATTGGTCAGCGTGGTCAGGCGACCATGCTGACCAATGAGTGTTTGCCTTTTGCGAGCGTTATACTAAATGCTCTGTGCAGGGCTTCAGTACGATGTATGGACCGTACACCAGTTGACGCAAGGGGGGTGGCGCTTCAAAACAAAGGTATGACCAGCAGGGGTGGGGAGGAGGGGCATAATTGTAGGGGTAATTTCATTTTCTCACATTTGGTGAGAAAGAGGAATGACCCTTTAAATTGGCTGATGCTTCCTCTTACTCACACATGATATAAGCACTAGTATAATATTAATAGTCCTTTCAATTCCAATATCACTGGTATTAATGTGTTGCAAGTAGATATGAGCTAAAGAAGTGCTGTATATAATAATCCTGTAGGGATGGTTCACTCTAGCAAGCGGTGCTTAACGCATAGCCACTGGTGTTTGCTGGCAGGGAACAGTGCTCATGCGCCAATACCGGTGCATTACACTGTTTACTTTATTTTCTGTTAGACCTTTATTGAAGTAACAAGGGGGAAATTTCATTAAGTTCTATTGGCATAGTGTGGTACTTCTTGTTCAGTGCAGATTCTAACTGCCTTTTCTGTGCATTGCAGGTGCGCTGGAAATAGCTAAGCAATTAAGGTGTATGTGTAGCATCTAGAGCAGCAGCTAACGATTATTTCAAAATCGATTAGTTAGCCGATTATTACGTTCGATTAATCGGTTAATCGGATAAATAATAAAATACATTTTAAAAAATGGCTCCAGTGATGGACTACTAGTTTGTATTGAGATTGCAGTCCATCACAGGAGGAAGCTTGGAGCGGTGGAAGAAAAAAAGAAGAAAAAAAGAAAAAAAAAGTGTGGTGTGCAACATAGTGAAATGAAAAGTGTACAATTATACAGCAATGAATGCAGAATGGCACCGGCTATAGAGGACTACAAAACCCAGCAATAGTACATTATACAGCACAATGCAGAATACCACCAGCTGTAGAGCAATACAACAAATCCCAGCAATAGTACAGTATAGCTGGTGGTATTCTGCATTGCGCTGTATAATGTACTATTGCTGGGTTTTGTAGTCCTCTATAGCTGGTGGTATTCTGCATTGCGCTGTGTAATGTACTATTGCTGGGTGTTGTAGTCCTCTATAGCTAGTGGTATTCGGCATTGCACCACTGTATAATGTACTATTGCTAGGATTTGTTATACTCCTCTATAGCTAGTGGTATTCCGCATTGCGCTGTATAATGCATTATTCCTTGATTTGTAGTCCTCTATAGCTGATGGTATAATATACAGCACAATGTACCATCAGCTATAGAGGAATACAAATCCCAGCAATACATTATAGAGCACCATGTGTGGGAAAGTGCAGGCTTACCTGAGCAGTCTTCCAGCAACTTGTTTCTGAGATCGGGCCTGTCTATCGGTGGCTGTCATCCACCCACACCTGCTCCTCCTTACTTCTTCTCTGAGCATGCGGCGGGGAGGAGGTGCGGTCTGTGGAGCGTGGATGCGGGTGGGTCTGGCAGCGGCGAGCGTGAGGTGGGGAGGAGGTGTGGCGTGCAGCGTGTGTGGATCCGTGAACAGGGCCAACCAATCAGAAGCCGATTACTCGATGATTGAAAAAGCTGACAACTTTTTCTATAATCGATTATATTCGATTATGTCGATTAGTTGTTGCAGCCCTAGTAGCATCATGGCATCAACAATTATTATTATTAATTTTTTTTTACTTTTCCATAGAGTAGGAAAGGATTGTCATGTTGTTAGTGCTGATGAATCTATCCATGCTAGGTAGATTCACCTTCTTTATTTCTGCTTAAGACAGAATGTGATAACAAATCCATAACTTTAGAAATTACACTAAAACAAGAGGTGAGACTGGTTCTTCCATTGTTCAAATGACAACAGTCTAATAGTAGAATTTCCCCCACTTTGTAGGGATTTCCTTCTTGCTCCCTGTTATGTCTCAAGGACAGGAAGTGAAGGGAAATCTTCCTATTGGGACGTAGGGTATACACAGATTTTCGCAGGCACGTTGGTACGAAAAATCCAGTCGGAACGATCAATAATACCATCAGAGGCTTTGCGATTGTTGTTTGAAATTGTGTCTGATTTTTGTTTTTTATTTAACATTTAGTTTTGGAATCATTTGAGTTTTCCGAACGAAAACCACATTCACTGTTAGAAGTTTGTTTGTGCGAGAATAATTTTCCAACATGCATAATTTCACCCAATCAACGATTAGAAAGGCAAACAAACGTTCCGGAGTTTAATAAAAATTTTAACTGTGTATACCCAGCTTAAGAATTCTAGCTTTTCCCTACTCTTTTCAAAATGAAGAAAGTTTTAGCTACCGTGTTTCCCCGAAAATAAGACAGTGTCTTATTTATTTTTTTTGCACGAAAAAAGACACTAGGTCTTATTTTCGGGGGATGTCTTACCTGGCTGGGGGAGGACCAGACGAGGTCCCGGATGGCAGCGTGTTGTTGCCGGTCCCGGTGTCGGCGGATGATATTCCGCTTCCATCGTGTGTGTGGGCGGGGCGGGAGCTGCGGCCGGCTGGCGTGTGGGCGGGCCGGGAGCTGCGGCCGGTCTTTACACTTAAAATTCAGTTTATGTGCAGCTACCCCGAAAGTAAGACCTAGCGGATCTCTGTAATATAAGACCTACCACCGAACTAGGTCTTATTTTCGCGGTAGGTCTTATATTACCGTGTTTCCCCGAAAATAAGACACTGTCTTATATTTTTTTGGCTCAAAAAAACACACTAGGTCTTATTTTCAGGGTAGGTCTTATTTTCGGGGAAACAGGGTACAGAAATCCCTGAAGATAGCGCTAGGTCTTACTTTCGGAGTAGGTCTTACTTTCGGGGAAACACGGTATACGTACACTTTAAGAAAGTGTTGTGCATCCTCTCTGAGAAGCCACAATGTAACTGGAAGCCTACCTCTAGCAGCACCTATCATTCAACCAAAAGTGTTATTAACAAATGTATTGTGAAAGGACAGTTATAGTACTGCATCAGTCTTTAACAGATCTCTCTCACATCTGTAGGCTGAAGTTTAGGCTCTGCTTCAGGTCTAATATGGCACTTACAACACATCCTTCATGAACTGTGAAGTGCATCTATCTTTGCCTATTCTGCAGGCAGACGGGGAAGTTTATCCTAAAGAACGGATCAGAGATGGTGTTGCCATGCAGTAAAGATGATTCTATTCACAGGATTTCCTAGGAATGGAAAACCAGCGTGTCTCATCTCCATCACGTGCATCTGGATCTCTCACGGAGAGCTTTCCAGCTGACGTCGCATGCCTCACACAGAACATTGTTGTGGGTGTTTGATCTGCCCCCCGCTGTTTGTGCTGGAGATGATGGATTGGATTTTTAGAAGCACACATCATTTCACCAAGGGAAATCTCTACCTTGGTGGAGAAAGCAGAAGTCATCCAGATCTGTCACGTATTTACTGAGAATTCTTTGCTGTCCTGTAAAAATCGAGAACTCTCTTGGACTGATATCTATTTGCTTTTGGATGGAGCTGTCATTTTTATAGAGCTGTTTGAGTGGACCCACATGAGAGCTCTTACCAGTTGAGATAACATACACTGACAGGTCTGGAGAGCTCTGTACACAGCCAGACAACACCTGTCTGCTGTGCAGAGAAGAAAAAAAAAAACCTCTTTACACATGAAGGAGACACCTGTCAGACATAACACACTGCGTGAGGAAAGACTGGCCAGGTTTAGGTAGTTCTTTCCTATTTGCTTTAATCTCTTAGACAGCTGCCCTCATCTAAGAGTCTGTAGTAACCAATCAGATTCCAGGTACCTAGCTAAAAAGGGAGGACTGCTTTCCTTTCAGACGCTTATTATAGACTATGTATAGATTAGAGGGCAGACATTTTCTGCAGCTTTTTTACTGAAAATGTAGAGCCATTCTTATCAGTGTCTATCAAAAAGAAGCTTACACTCTAATGTCACTACCCCAGTGCAAGACACACATACGTGCTCTGGGATCAGCTGATTATTCTATTTTAATTTGGGAGGAGATTTGGAAACCCATATGAAAATGAAGGATAAACACATAGGGGGACATTTATTATTATTATTATTATACAGGATTTATATAGCGCCAATAGTTTGCACAGTGCTTTACAATATAAGGAAGACATTACAGTCACAATACAATTTAAGACAAGATGGTAAGGAGGGCCCTGCCCCTGAGGGCTTACAATCTAAAATTTATGAATTCTGTTGCATGGCAAAGCAGTGCTTCCTAAGGTGTTTTAAGGGCTTGTTTACACCAGATCCTGCTGCTGACCGGGTGCTGGAACACTCAGTGCTGAACACAGCTTCAGCTCATTTGCTGCACTGTTGGATGGAGTGAACTCCTGCTTGATATGTGCGCTATTGTTCGAACAGGGAGGCAGTGGAAGCAGGATGCAGAGTGTGGAATGGTAATCCACTGATGCCAATGTCTTCCACCTAATGTCACCAAGTACCAGGGCCCCCATTTTCCCCCAAGGGGGCATTT